GAGCACACCGTAAGTTCAGTGGATATATTCTCTCAGTGAATATAACCACAACGATGCTGAGATATTTCCAAAACTCCGGACCGCGGGTGACTGTAATGGGGATCGAACCTACTCTCAGCCTTTCCTGGGGCTAAGGCGTTAACCACCACACCATTCGCATCCTTCGTTTCGCCTTTCTCTCTTTTGTGTTTTAACCTATTGGTGATATGCGCAACAGTGCATAGATTACATTCACATCTGAGCCACAATAAATGTACCTACGATTGCTCCTAATACTCCATTGGCGTTATTTCTCAATCGAAGGACGTGATAATGATCGCATTCATGGGTGGAGAACAGCAGTGCACAGCATCTTTGACAACGTTTGAACAGCTGCGAATCGTTGCAGTTCGCTGCCGAGTAACTCAACAGTAGACCCAGCAGAATAAGCGGAGACCACTGCTGCATCTGAGTAAAACTCATGAGAGGAAGAAAGAACGACATGAATGAAACGCAGTAAAAAAGTGAACGAGCGAAACAATAAAGAGGAACAAGGAGTAGGTAAGTACGGAGTGTTGGGGAAGGGACTATTGAGAGTGATATGAATGAGAATTTATAGAGAATGCATATGGAAGAAGACAGTTTATTTTCAGTGGTAGTTAAACAAACAGATTTAGCTCAAAGCACGGAGTTGCTTTCCTCATCGTCTCAGCCAACAACACCTCATTTAACATGTATACTTCCCTCATTGAAAATGTCAAATACTGATATCCTGATTTGATATAAAAATCTCTTCCTTATTCGGAACTCTTCGGAACACAAAGAATTAATTATGGCATTCCTTTTAAACGAAGGCTTGTTAATTAGATTACTGTGAATGGTAATCAATTCGCTTTCCCCATGAATTCCTCGAATACTTGGATACTTAAACGACCCATCGTCACTGGTTGTGCGGCGCCCAGCACATTCTTCACTTTTCGGAGTTGTTCTGGTTTAGCTATTATGTTTTCTTGGAGTCCCAAGGTCAGCCCGACCAAAGTCTGCCCCAGGTCTTCCCCACTACAGGCAGTCGCAGCTCTTGTGGGTCAGAGAGAGATTTGCCACCACTCTACTAATTTGATACCAAGACGGTGGTAGATCTTGGTATTGGTTCAACTGATATTCAATACCCAATGAAAATATCGAAATTTAATTGTAGTAGAGAGATTCACTATAAACTCACGTGTTAATAGCAGTTTCATCGTCGGTAATAAACGTGAAGTGCATTAGGCGGAAAAATCTGTCGTTCCATGGCTACCATTTTAACTATTTGCATCAAAATCTTTAGTACTGATCACTTATTTCACCTATAAGCTCGAGAATAACCTAGTGACTTTAGCAATTATTAGGAAACTTTTTATTCAACTACGTCGTACATGAAAACTGTCCAAACACAGGCATCGAACTTCCCTTACGGAACTTCGTTGTGGAATGCCATTGGATCTGGGGTGTGCTCATGGGTAGCTTTCAGGATCTACTGGATTAGACGCTATGCTCACCTGTCAAAGGCCACCTTGAACGATCCCACATGTACTGTTTTGGAATACAATTTTGTACTTGCAATGGAGAACTAAGTGAAAGTAATCCAACGCTGCAGAAAGAGGGAGTTCATTTCCCTGAGATCATCTGCACTTCACTTTTTCTCACTCCATAATCTTCTTCGCCTATGAATTTTCAACGCAAATGACTGCCTAGTGACTGATAACGGTATGGCCATACATCACAACCACAAACGTGTAGAAGAATTGATAAGGACTTCCGTGTCACTGTCTAGAGAGCGAATAACTGGAGTTATCTAGAGAACCATGCGCTGTGGCAGATTAATACAACAGCGCCCTACTGTAGTGTATTCGATTCCCGCGCTAGAATAAGTAGACTGTTTTTGTTCCATTAGATTAATTACTGAATGCAAGTTCGTTTTTAAAAAACATAACTTTCCTACTGTCCAAATAGTTCTCGAATGTAACTGCATTGGAGCATATCAATTCCTGAATCATCTTCAATCTATGCGAAAGTCCTCAACACCATATTACCTTGTAGTGTTGTCAGATTACGAATGAAAGGACAGAGCTCTCGTAGTTGACCTATCCATAAAGGAAGCGGCATGCATTCGACTTCTTCAAGCATCGTAGAGGTCATTGAATGCACATCTGTTCCACACAACGGCTAGCGGTGGCCCAGCGATATGTCAAATTAGTGCTGCTGTCCCCCAGACCAGTAGGGCATCTTCAGCAACCCATTTGCCGATTCCGGAAGGGTCAAAGGCTTAGTGAGCACGGGATAAGGGGTGAGATTGAAAAAACGACCAAGTGTTTCTTTTCCATTGATGAGCTAACAAGCGGTTGATAAAAATTGTTATTCGACTAGAATCACACATGCATTTCAAGGTACCTCTAACAACTCTGCTACACCGCATCAAACTGTACTGAGAATAGAAGGTGTTTTCACATGCACGATATTAGTTAGAAATTATACTGCACACCAATCCTTCTACTTACCCTGCCGATATAGACTAATATTTATTCAACCTCGTTGTTTTCCAGTGTGGGGGGTGAGACTAGTATACCGGAATCGCGGTGGCCCAGGTGGTGGTCATGTTGAACTCTCCTGTCATTGTCAACCACTCTCAAACGTCTCTATCTTATTCTAATAGTGAAGATATTTGCAAATAAAAATGAAATACTGGTCGAGACATTCCTGTGTTAGTCATGCTGATTCCTAATATCGTGAAATGAACGACGTTGAGTCTTCAACGTTTCGATAACTGTGATCGAGGGAATTCTAAGCTCAACCGAATGTCATCAACATCAAGATTGTGAGCTGTATTCCAATAATCTTTGAGATGGTAAAGATGGCGTCGATCGTGCGTCAAATATTAGTAGTACTCCAAACCCCGTATAGGTGTTAAGGAAATAAGTGGTTACTTTGCTCAGCTTTCTTTGAACCGCAGAAAGATGTCAGTGGTCATTATAATTTAACTTTGTAGTCGTAGTACAGCAAACACCGTATGAATAAATAATTGAGTAAAGGACTGCTAATTGCTTGAACATCTAGACTCCGTATTAACATGTAGATGTAACAATGCAAAAGCAGCACTTCATTCTTTCGCAATCTTGCAATCAGCATCCAGAAAAATGATCGAACTGTTATGTGATTTCGGCTGCAACATTAAGCTCGGTTACCTTTCCTCACTAGGACGTGGAATGTTTGTTAAGCGCAAGCCTCTCTGGAAAGCCGAGAATGACAAGCAAGGACCTGTGGTTTCATCAAATGTGGTTTCTGTCCTTTGTGGATTCGATCAAGAATTGCCGCCATGAGAACTGGATTCCACCATGACAAAAGTGAGTCCGGAGCCATTTGATCAAGCGCTCAAGCATAGTATACTGAGCCGACTCAAGGATACGATTAAGCGCAAATAATAGTAAAGCGGCTAATTATTCAATTTACAGGTTCTGGACTGGGTAATGTGTAAGATAACCTAGCCGTGATAGTGCATCAAAGTTAATAAGAGGAGATAATTGGAAAGATTACGCATCCATTTCATCTTAGATGACACAGTCATAAGAGGCTCTCGAAAATATTTGGTCCGAGAGCGATTTTTATCTTTCTTCAGAAAGAGGTGGTCATTCCACTTGAAAATCAGAAAGGAGCTACCCTCCCAACGATTTAGCTTCTCATCGTGGTTGGGAGGTGCTCCCGGGTGTTCCGCCTCGCTGTATAGCGAGGGACTCATCCGCTGGCAAGGTCTCCCAAACTGGGAAGGAGTAGGGCGTTTCCATTAGGAATCCTACCGAACAGTAAACCGATACAAGTTTTCACCACCTTCCTGGTATCAAACCAGTCGCATGATGGCAAGTCTTCCTCTGATCCACAAAGGTGGCGAGCTGAGGCAGACCTTGGCCAGACCGACCTCGCGACTCCAGAGGACTAACCACAATAACTAAACCAGAGAAACTCCGAAAAAAGGGAGATTATGCTAGTGAAAGGCAACCAGTGAAAGGTCGTCCAAGTATCCAAATGAGTAAGGCATCTACCTTGATGGCAGTACTGTAGGACAGCCTTCAAATGTCCCACTTTTTTGCCTAGGTGAATTTTCCACTTTTCGAGAAATCGACCGACCACAGCTGACAACTCGTTCCAATATCACTCTTTCCGCCTTCTTTTCTGCTTATAAACATTTGAATATTACACCTTTCCCTTCAACAAAATATTATCGAACTTAAAATATAGTATCTCTTCTATTCTTCGACTCTACCGGTTGAACTTCCAACACCACCTGGAGTTTAGTTAAACCGTAGCCTACCAGATGTTCTTGATACGTAGAAGACATCGTGCTTCTTCCGCGCTCCCACGAACGTAAACCTACCAGAAACCAACCAATAAACTGACTAAATGCCTCCTTTAAAGTCCACCTCCTAAGATTTTGAGTATGAACAATTCCCTCCATTAAATATCACCAACGGCCCTACTCCACCACTTCCTTCTTTTCTATCCGTTTTAATACGTAGCCATTCTCACTTCAAACAAGAAACAATTGCAACAAATATAGCTTGTGGCAGCTTAAAAACATCTGCTATTTCGCCCCGGCAAGTCCCAAACACTGCCAGAATAACTCCGATTCTTTATTAAATTAGTAAAACAGGCAGGGAGGCTAAACAAATTAACATTACAAAGTGTAGGTAATTACGCACTTCTGTAGGACAAGTCATCGCTACACATTGTTTCATTCCTTAACATCGACAAATACTGAAACGAGAATTATTTCGGATAAAACGGAACATGCGGCCCACTTGACAAGCTTTAACAGCATTAAAACGATAGCAAATAGTTATAAACATAAAACCACAATACACAAACGATGAAATAAGAGGGACAAATAATACATTTTAGTCGGAGCACAGATCATCCAGTTGCAAATACATACAACCACAATGTGAATTGTTTCCAACGTTAACACATTACTGCACAAAATGTTAACAAAATCAGTATGGTTTATGCCTATCACCACTGAATCCACCACGTCCACCACGCATTGCTCCTCCACCACCAGCGCCGCCTCCTCTTGGAGCACCACACTGGTTGCATGCCTAAATTACGTGCAACCATAAGGAAATTGTGACCGAGAATACTTTGATAAGAACTCTGGAAAGATAAAACGGTGGCGGAAAAGCTCAAATCTATGGCGAATCAAGGAACAACATGACAGGAATTATTGTGCTAAAACATCTATATAATAACTGCTTAAAAAAAACCTGTCGAAATGCAAAGTTGTTATTTCCACACGAATCGCATGGCCAATCATTACTTCGTTGTTCCATGTTCGGATTTCCTCCGCCACGACCAAATCCACCTCGACCACGCCCACCTAAATACAGCGGTCATGAAAATTATGCAGCGATTGCTGACCTTCCACCCGTTGCACTACGCCGTCAGTTAGTTCGCAACCGTCTCTATGATCGTTTGTGCAGCTCAGAAAACTGTATGGTCTGTTCAAACGAGAGAGACGGGGATTGCATGAGTTCAGGTATATACCTGATTTCATGTAACGCATGCGGTGAGGAATATATTGGGGAAACGGATAAACAACTTTGTGTCCGCATAGAAAACATATAGATGGAAAAGCTAATATCCGTCTAAACACTCCTCTAGGTACGCATTGGGCACAAAAGCACAACAGTGATGATTTTGAAGTGACCGTGCGGATCCTAGCGCAGAAATCAAAAACATCAACGCGTAAACTCTTGAGGCCTTTTAGATAAATTTCAAAAAACCAGAGGTGAATCGAAGAGACGAATGCCTAAGTATCACACGTGTTCTGGCGCCATATTTCAAAATGATATTTTGACCCCGGGGAGTGTCTTGCTCGCGACCCCACGTGAACAAAGCGTGGGCCAGTTCCACTCGTAACATCACGGTGAGCAGCCTTTCTGTTCAATATGGCGTCTATTTAAAAGTTTGACCCTCATTAATACTTTAGCCTTTTTTCCACCTAATAATTAAAGTGTTCCATTAAAAAATACGTCCAGGCCTTGAGAAACGCAAAATCGCCGAAACGTTAGCCGGCGACCAACAACATCAACAACGACAACGAAGACCTATACCAACCTCGCATCAGGTTAAGAAGATGAGTTTCTAAGATCATATAAATAAATATATCAACTATCTAGGCCGAGGTTTATAGAAAGTTGGTCTTTTGAGTTCTACTTGTGCGAAGATTCGATTCAGTCACATGCTGGAAAAGAGCTTTCTTCATCGACCACGAGGAAAAGATCTAGCTGTATACGAGAACATTCTGAACGAAGTCCTGTCCAAACGTGGCTGCCAGATTAAAGAAGACCTGACCGACGACTATGAGCTGCTTGTCGAAGGACTGAAAAGTTGTGCCGAGTTAGCCTCAGTTCCTTAAGCAAGAAGATCGGATCGCATCTCTATCACTACTAAGGAATTGCTTAAAAAGAGAAGGAAACTGAAGCTTGACCCTACTGTAACACGCTTAACATGGCTAATAATAAATGCCAGCTGCCGAAGAGCTTTGCAGGTAGATTTATAACGGTACAAGCAGAAGAAAATACTGGAAGCAGTCTGAAAAAATGCCGTCGGGACTTGTGTGATTACAATGTTCCGCTGTCAGCCCTGATGAACTAAGATGGGATCGTCAAAACTTTCTGCCATGATATGGAATTAATAGCGGAAACGTTCTACACCAGCCTTTACCGTTCTACAATCCCCGTCCCGAGCCCTAATATCCCGCTGGAGAAAACCACTTAGATTCTTCCGCTGGAGGTTCGAGTTGCGATAGAAAGCATAAAAACAGGCACTGCTCCAGAATCAGAGAATGTCACCGTCGATTTCCTTAGAGCTGGAGGCCACAATTTACAAGTACTTCTCGCAAATCATATTACAGGCTACCTTCAAAAGGAGAAAATCCCAGACCAGTGGAGGACATCGCACGTGGTCATCTTGCCCAAGAAAAGAGACTGAAGGGATCTTCGTAACTATCATCCCATATGCCTGTAAGCGTACTCTATAAGCTCTTCACGAATATTATCCTCTCGCGTATATCAAGGACATAGGATGAGGCGCAACTAGTTGAGCAAGCAGGATTTCGAAGATTTTGCTCCATGGACCACATCCAAACCGTGTCCAGGGTAATCGAGGTTTGTCGGGAATACCACTTGCCTTTAGTCCTAACCTTCGTCGACTATGAGAAAGCGTTTGACAGCGTCGAAACGATTGCAATCCTATCAGTGCTCGTCGACCAAGAAGTGGAGCCGTCCTACATTAAGACTCTGTCCGACTGTTATCGGAACTACTCTACGAAAATGCAGCTTTTTCATCAACCTCTTACAATACCCATAGGAAAAGTGGTTCGACAGGACGACACAATATCACCAAAGCTGTTCAGTGCCGCACTGCATGGATAACGAAGTCACTCAATTTGGATGAGAAAGGCATATGTATCAATGGAAAATTCCTATCAAACCTTCGTTTTGCCGACGACATTGTCATCTTCTCAAGAAGTACTAGAGAAGCAGAGACGATGAACAGGGAGCTCAACGAAGCGGGGAAAAATATCGGACTTCGCATAAAACGAAAGGAGACCTAGTTCATGAAAAAACCGTGGTGTGAAGGCGAAAAAACAGAATTGGATGCTCTCTCATTGCAGAGACCACCTCGCAAGTGTACCTTGGGTGATCAATGAACATGGAAAACAACATGAAGGAGGAACTAGATGGAAAAAGGAGAGCAGCTTGGACCGCATTCAGGCCTCACAAAGAGGCCACCGACCACCTGAAGGACCTGAAAATCTGCGCTCATCTCCTTGATTCTACGGTCCTTCCAGCGCTCTGTTATGCTGCAGAGACGTGGGTTGATACTTCAACTACGTCAAGAATGCCTCGAACTACTCACAGAGCGCTTGAGCAATGTCTTCTGAAATACAAGCGGTAGTCTCAATATGTAGCTGGAATGCGATGCTCTGACCTCCGAAATCTGTCACATTTTCGAGATCCAAGAGAATATACACCGACAGCGAAACAGATAGGCTGGTCACATAATGAGAAGAACAGACGACAGACGGACGAAAAGAACAGTAAAGTGGACTGCAAGAGAATGCAAACGTCCTCTTGGACAACCACCTATACGTTGGGCGGACGTGTTCGCAAACAAAGTTAATCAGCTGTACCCGCGGTTGTTCTACAGATCATGGTATGAGATTCGCAAGCGCTGCCATGCTCGAGCAAGATCACCACCATGGACTACGATTGCGAGAGAAAGGAACGAATGTCATATGTGCTGGGGTCCGCACAGCTCGTGAAGACGGACCGTCCAAGTATCCATGCAAATAAGTAAGCATAGAGATCACATCGGCTAGGAACGTGACAGATTCATTAAACATTTTCATTGCAGTGCTATGAAAGCTGAAAGTTTGAAAGTCGTTTTCGGAAAGCTCACCGAGACTTCGCCATTCATCTGATGAAGGCAATTGCACTCCGATGCTCGGACGAAGCACTTACAACTTCAAGAAAGGAAAAGAAAATAATTCAAACATTGCTCGGATATTTTCAATACACACAACCTCCTGTCCTGATATAAATAATGGAGGATAGATATGTCGTCCCAGCGGTTCTCTCTTGCGAAGACGATATGTTATTTAGTCAATGAAAAATAGAACATCTCGTGGGCACAGAATAGGGCATGAACACCTGAAGAACCTTCCGCCAGGTCTCATAAACAAACTGGCAATGCTTTTCACATGTTACCTGTCAGAATGCAAGGCTCTCGTTCAATAAAAGACCATCAAGACCGTTTTATTGTTCAAGGAAAGAAACCTCCACGATATCGGCAGCTATTAACAAGTATGAATGCTTCCTGCCGTCTACAAACTTTCCAGTCGAGTCATCCTAAAGATGATTGACAGAACACTGGACGAAGAATAGCCATGAGAGCAAAGCGGCATTCGTAAAAGGCTTCGGTACTATTGACCACATCCACACGACAATAAGAATAATTGCGGTAACGGCGAGAGCACAGGGAACCGCTCTGTCCCACTTTCACTGATTTGTTATATAAAAAGCAATATAAATATAAGATTAGGACCATATAACGATTCCCTGTGAGTTATGTAAAGAACTCACAACCAAAATATCATGAATCTTCAACTCTGGCCTACCCCAATGACCAAATATCAAAGACACCGTTCTACACACCAAACTATCGACGATAACGTGGGCCAGAAATGTAGTGCACAACCCGACAGTCTGAGTTCTTTACGAAGACGTCACGAGAAAATTTTGATGCTCAACGAACTAGAGAACCAGAAACCCCTAGGCTCCTCTTGAATGCAAGAAGGAAAAATGGAAGTTTTACCAGGTCCCTCTCCGGTGGCCACTCAACGATCAAAATGATGGCAGGTGACTAAGGTTGGAAATTGGCGTTAGCAAGCGTGTTCGACCACATCCACACCTTGCCCTTGTCGTTTGTTTAAAGATAGAAGCCAAATATGGTACTTCACTGCACTACTATCCGCAACTAACAACTGTCTGCGCGAAATCGACAGTAAAACTCTCATACCAAATCCACACAAAAATTTCGAAGAGCGTCCCGGATCGCTGGTGTGAGAAAGTGAATCGAACGCAATAAGTGCTGGAGGGTGTACATTGCGATGCATGTATTGTTGGGTCATTTAACAAATGAACGAAATTTACATCGTCGACCGGAAGATCGGAGCATCAGTTCCAAACATTTTCACGAATTATCGTAAAACAATCAGTCACACTATCAGTCCGAGAAAAAGTTAAGCTGAAAACTACAAAGAAATATAAACCGTGATCCCCAGCTTCCTCTTACTTGTTTCCATGTGCCCCTCTTGAAACTACATCAACACTACAACGATCAATTTGGAAAACAACAAAAATTTAATCTTTCATATGCATTCTCTAAAGGTTTTCTTTTGACTCCACACTTCAATAAAAATGTCATAATACTCCTTTGACAAAGTCGAAAAACTTCGATAGAACAGAAAAAACTGTTCTCCCAAAAGAAGCAGGTGTTCCTCAGATATAATAGACTCACCAAAATCGCCACGGAAACCACCTCCTCCACGTCCACCGAATCCACCATCTGAAAATGTTGTGAAAATCAGATCTAAACTTTATAAAACAACTGTAACAAGTACCAAAACCGCCGCGGCCTCCTCTTCCACCACGGAAGCCAACACCTCCACCACCACGTGCTGAAGCGTCCATGGGTTTGAACTTGGCTATAGAAATTGTCATAGGACGATCACCACCAGGAAATGGTTGACCATTGTACATTTCGATACAGCGCTGAGCAACCTCAGCGCTAATAAAAGTGATCATGCACTCCCCCTAGATATAATACATAAAGTACATACAACACGAGTTCAACTTGGAATGTACTAACTTTCGGTTCCCCAGTTGCTCTATCGGTATAGATCTTTATTCTCGGAGCTCCTGTTCTGTCGTTCTTTGCAATGTCTCCAACAGTGTTGAAAACATCTGCTATATATGTCTCATTTGCCCTAAAAATAATAGAGCTAGAAGGGAAAAAACCCAAGAAATTGTTTAAAAACTCGTAAGAGAGCAACGAGAAAACTGACGTGACAGGAACTCCCTGAACAAAAACGGTTTCTTTCAGTTCAACCCGATCGTCTTGACGAGCTCCAAAGCCACCATCTCCTCTATCTCCTCCAAAGCCACCACGGCCTCCACGGTCTAAACACTTACGAGTTATATTTAAAAATAAACTGTCAGTTATCTGCCGATATTACCGACCAAACAGGCGAAGTGAAAATGAGGACTGGCATCTGTTCTGAGATTTCGACTACTGTCAAAACACTCCTGTTATTTATCCCACTCCACTCATTCATTCGCTTAAATCTTTTCCTAACGAATTTTCACAACCACCTTGTCATTGTAATACTGCTCTTCACTATTGTGCTAACCTTTTAATTGCTGCTCCCTGCCAACGGTTTACTGCCTTATCGTGGCTGGGTGGTCATAGGGCTGCGCTGTACAACGGAGGAATTCATTCATCCAGCAGTGTCTTCCAAACTGAGGAGGCTGGCGTTTCCATCAAGCCCAGCTAAGAAAATCAATACCGGGGTCTACCACCACCCTGGTAACAAGTTAGTCGCATGATGGTAAATCTCCCTCTGATAACCAAGGACGGTGACTGCCTCTAGTGGTGAAGAGCTGAGGCAGACTTTGGCCTGGACAGACTGGTTAGGCTAACATCGGGACCATAGGGAATCAGAGTAGCTAAATCAGCAAAACCGAAAAAATGGCAATTTTGCTGTGGCTCGCACAACCGGTGGAAATGGGTCATTCAAGTATCGACTAAGTTTTATTTGCTGCTTACCATAATTTTTCAGAGCAGGGCATGATGTGAAATACAATCACAACGATGCTGAGGTATTCGCAAAACTTGGACCACGGACCAGATCGAATGACTATTACCCTTTCTGGGAGACTACTTTCCACTAATACTACCGTGCAAAGCGTGAAAATATCTTAATACCTACGAAAAAGAACGCAGCCATTTTGTGAAATTTAAGTCTGTAACCATGAAGTCCGCAAATGCACGACGCCATGAATGGTCGTTACTACCGGCACTTTGCTATTGTTATTTTTAGTATTACAGCATTCCCCATGAATCGATGCGAACCCTTCAACAACTTAACGTTTTAGCACATAACCTCTAGACCGTAACATTAAATTTCTCATTTTCAGTCAACCACTTCTATTTTTTTTTTAGAAATAATTACTGTAATAACACTGATTTTTATGAGAATACCTTGAAAACCTCCTCTTCCACCGGGACCTCCCGGGCTGAAACATAACGTGATTATCTAGAGCATTTGGCGCAATCTATGCGAGACCATAAGGTCTACGCACAATTGCGCCATGCCCTAGACATTGCAAATCCACCTCCGATGATAATATTAAACATCTAAAAAATTTTTGAAAGAGCAAACAACGAAGATGGATTTGCAATCTCCATACAGAAGACGCGCAGAATCTTCAGACTCGATTTTCAATTCGTGACATGATGGCAACACATTTTCGAGTTTACAGTGATGGTGATGTTGAGCTGGATTCAGCCCTTCCTGGAACTCTAAAGCATACTCGTTTACCTCATACATCCTCTTCAGGATTTTTAACATAAATTTACGGCATTATCACAACGGACTCCGGACACAAAGTAACAAGAGGTCGTGAAGAATCACTCCTTTTCCACTTTACTTCTTGATAAAGTTTCTATAAAAAGCAAAATTCCTAAAGTTCGTTTGAACTTCTTCGCCGATCCTTCTCTATACTTGAACTGTCCGACCATAAATAACTATTATGAACTTACAAAGTGAAAAATCGTCACCTTCACTTTGTCCACAACAACTTACCGTCTCACCACTTCACCAAACACCGTAACTCATAATAATCGACTGCAATCTGTGGGCCAGTTGGCCGAAACACTTAAATTCTATAATTCTATAACATTAGTTTAGCTACGAATAATGTTCCACATCACCACATGGACCTCCAGTTTGTGCTTCATCAAAAAATCCATTATGAGCTATAGAAGAAGTATTTTCTCTCAACAGTTGAAATTTAATCAAGATGATGTTATAGACCAAACAGACAACTATGCAAAACATGAAATTCTGACGGCAATTAAAAAAAGTAGACCTTACCCGCCACGGAATCCTCCTCGTGCTCCGCCACGACTTCCATCATCCCATCGACTAGGTCCACGGCGATCTGGGCCACCATATCCTCCATCACGTGGGGGGCCACCAAAAGCCCCTCCTCTTGGGGGAAAACCTCCATCACGGCCACCTGCAGCAGTGCACTGGTTAGATCTAGCAAAATCGTAATAGGTATGCAAAAAAAAACTCATAAACAAAACCAAACCAGATAGGGATACAAAAGAAAACTAAAAAGGTACTCTCAACGTCTACCAGGTAAATCAGGTACTGTACATGTCATGTCTTAGACTTTCGGAAAACACATTTGGAGTAAACCAAAAGTTACACACCTCTTTCACCAAAATCTCCTCGTCCACCACGGCCGCCTCTTCCACCAAATCCTCCTCTGTCGTAGCCTCCATCACCATATCCTCCACGACCGCCTCGCCCACTGTCGTATCCACCTCGACCAACATCATAACCACCGCGACCACCTCGCCCACTTTCGTATCCTCCGCGACCGACACCATATCCTCCACGTCCACCATCATAACCTCCTCTTCCACCATCGTATCCTCCACGACCTCCATCATAGCCACCCCGAGTGCTATACCCATCCGGACCACCACCACGACCACGGCCAGCTGGAAACAATACACGTTCCAGAAATTATTCCATATATTGACGTCAGTAAAATTGTTACCTTTTGTCATATCAGGGCCACCATGAGCATTAGCACCATTTGCGTAATATCCGCTGTACTAAAAATAAAGGAACTAAATGAAACAAAGTTAGCTACCGCATCGTGATAAGGACATTTCTTATAAGCTTACATCAGCAGTGGCTGCATTGGCAGCCCCTTCGGAACCTGCCACAGGAGCAGCAGCTGGAGCTGTTGGGACGGTCTGGCCAAGAGATGCGTAGTACTGCGCCCATGCAGCTTCATATTCCTTCAGAGCCTTAAATCAGAACTAAAACTGTATTAACTGTATGGCACAAGCCAAACAATTGGGTCAGGACAAGAACAGCAAAAGAAGGAAAGAAGAAACCATCAAAACACCTGAGGATCCGCTTGTGCATATGAATCTCCGGCTGCAGCTGCATTTGGATCAGCGTACGAACCATTGTAAGCTATAAAATTCAAGGGTAAAATGTCATGAAAATGAATGAAATCAACACAGAATTAAGAACAAATCAAAATAAAACAAAAGCTCACCCATCTTAAACCCAAGGTTTTCGCGAGCTAACCAGCTTTCCTTCCTAAAGAGAAAATGAATTGGCCTCGTATCGACAAGTTTTCTAAGACTTGCATTGATCAAGTTAAGGAAATTCGGGAGGAAAACGACCATTCTAACAACATGTAACGACACTACAGACCGAAACAGAACATAAACCCTTTGCGAGCGTCGAATAACCTACTCAAGGACGCCCACTGGTGAGTGCGTCGGGTCGATACACAAGCGGCGTGACATGCCGCGTTGCGGTTGCATTCGTCGTGGGACCCAACGTTGTCTTTTACTGTTGTTTATTACCCCGTATTCCAAGATATATTCTGTACAGGTGGCCGAGGGCATGAATGAGTTGATTGGTGATAAGGGCAAGGTTGAAGTATTGAGGTTGTTCTGTGTGAAGGGTGAGTGTAGTGAAGTGGTAGGGGGCGCCCTGCGTTGTCTAGGAAGATAGCACCATTGGCTTGATACATCCGTAAGCTACCGCTAGTAGTTGTAAAGGTCACATATGCATTCAATCGCTTCCAACGATGTTCAGTGCAGTCGAATGCATGGTGCATCCCTCATGGACTGACCAACGCCAAAAGCTTAATCCTTTATTCTTTTTATGAAAGATGTACAACGCCTGTATGACAGCACAACGGTCCGCATACTGTATAGATCCGAATTACGACCGGTCGTATTCGTCATGTGAACTAGTATTGTCTTTTTCTCCTGTAGAGAACTCCGTGTTTGAGAGGGTCCTTCTGTGCAGGTAACCGAAGCTGTACGTCTAAACGTATGAGTTGGGTCGTACTAAAGGTAGCGTTAAAGCTTTAATTGGGCTTTAAGTGTTGCATGGAACATGTAGAACGCACTTACGATAGCGCAACAACCCGTATATATTGCATGGGTCCAAACTTCAGCCATCTCCCTTTTTCAGAAGACTTGTCATGTTATTCACTTCCGGGTAACTACTGGTACTTCGGCAACTAGCGTACTTACATTAGCGTCTAACATGATTTCCGTTCATGTATGAAGGGATAATTTTGCGAACGCAATTTGGTAACAACTCTTTTCCTACTTGGTTGTTTACCTTGTCACGCAAAGGTTCCGTTTTGTAGTTTTCATATCGAATTGATTTCCAATCCAACAAAAAACAGGGTACTGAGAGTTGAATCATAGCAGCTGCAGCTATCAACTACGCTTAGTAATTTGCAGAAAGCTTTGTTGATCAATATTTTTCAAACTTACTGTCAAGTTCAAGTACTGTCATTTATACAATGTTGAGATATTTGCAAAACTCCGGACAGCAGGTGTCAGCGGTGGGGAACGAACGCGCTATTGTCCTTTCCGGGGAGTAACGCGTTCATCACCACCCCATGCGGGTCCTTCGTTTCGCCTGTCTCTCAGCTAGTTCTATTGATCTTTTTGCCATGAGCAATCACCCTGTCATTTATGTTTATGTTTTATGTTCCTGAGGAACGGATTGGTTTCGTATGCCCCATTAACGCTCAACGGAACGAATATCTCCAGTTATGTCTACCTAGGTCGGACAATCAACATAATGAACGGCTTAGCTCCGGAATTGAGCAGAAGCAAACGAGCGGCTTGGGGAGCAAGAGCATCGAGGATGTGGTGAAGAAAACAAGGAACACCCGACTCCGTGCCCACCTTTTCGACTCAACAGTACTTCCTGCCCTAACGTATGCGTCAGAAACCTGATCGCTGCGTAATCAGGATAAAAGGTCAGCGTTATCGAACGCGCAGTCGAAAGGGCGATGCTAGGAGTATCCCGTGTCACACAAGTAAGGGGAGGGATCCTAAGCTCCGACTTGCGTCAACGATCAATAATCGAAAATGCCGTTCTATACACCAGACAGTCGAAGATAAGGTGGATCGGACACGTAATGCCTATGAATGTCAACCGATGGACATAAGCCGTCAGTGACTGTATTTCTTGGGATATCAAACGGACTGCAGGGGGACCACCGAGCCAAGTTCAGAGTTCTTCAGGAAAAGCCTAGAAAGATATGATGCTCAACGAGTCCCTAGGGCGAGCAGAATCCACTGGGCTACATTTGCACACTACAGGGAAAAAAGGAAGATTTACTGGCGCCTGCTCGAGTCACTCGACCCTCAACGGGACTACAGGTGATACTGTCATTTAACTTCGGCATCAGTAGTCAATATCTTCTTGGATCATGAAACTAACACGAAGTTGATAAAGATGTTTATTCGGCTAACGTCTCGACGTCTCCGTCTTCATAAGAGGCGATGATCCGGGTTTGTGGTCCACAGTCGTTCGTGATCTCGATGTGGTGCCTTCGCGACCATGACTTGGATTATCGGCTCTGATGAAGGCGAAGACGTCGAAGCGTATGTCAAATAAACCTTTTCATCAACCGCGTGTAAGTTTAATAGTCCAAGAAGGTATCGTAGGTTAGGAAAATAGTGGTCAACAGAGCTTCATACAAATTATTAAGTGTAGTTAATACCTGTAGCTACTGTGATTCGAGCCCAGTACTCTGGCTGGAAAGTATAGAAAAAAACTGAGGAAGGCGAAGATGTTGAAAAGTTGGCCGAGTAAACTTTTCATTAAGTCTTCGTTGAATTCGTTCCACAAATACCGTGGCTAATGAAGAAGATAGAAGAATTTCAAAACTTGTAGATAAGAAGTGGACTATGATAAAACGCCTACATTTTCGTAGTTCATCTGAAAGAGCATCCAGCTGGAATTCATTTTTTCAGGAAACTTAGGATGAGATCTAAGCTTTAGTTTCTCGACGCTTAGCAGTAGCCGACTTCGTCAACAAATCTAGTGTCATAATCGCTTCTTACCGGACGAGATTTCGCTTTCTACTGGACGAGCTCTCGCGTGCGTAGTCCTTCTATATTCGAAATATTACGGTTTTTCGGCTTCATAAGATCAGAATTTCAACATTGTAATCAGTGTGGGTTGAGCTATATCTTCTAGGTTTTAAGCTACATTTCTTCTTCATTACTCATGCATTGGTATGAATGCGCATGCTTGCTAATGTTTTGATTAGTAGTTATCTGATTCACGTTCTCTTCTACCATATTTCCATTGATTTTTCACTGCATCGAGAAATGCCAGTGTTTGAACTTCTGTTAAAATTGCTGGTGGGATCTTCGTAGGTGGCCATATGTGCGGCAAAACAAGGATGATCGTCTTTTTTTTCTTTCTTTTCTTCCTTTCTGTATTCTCTTCTTCTTGTGATTCGAAGGTCAAAAAGGTTATGAATATCTTGTTGAGGGATTTCAGCATAGTAATACGTTTACATATACTCAGATAACTGGATTTGCTGTATTTTGTACGGCTCCTCTTTCAGTTCTACCGTGTGGCTCACAGCACTGCTCACGTTCGATCCGTTTCATCTCGGCCATCACCCACGAAGGCCTTCCAACTCTTACGTTTAGCTTCGGCTACTGCTTAAGGATTTCAATTTCATCTTGAATGTTGTAGAATGCTGGTCAAGCAATTCTCACTGGAGTCCTGATAGCCGGGCTGGAGCGTTCCCGATTGGATTGCAGAGTGTTTTTTCCCCAGGACAAGTCCTGTACTAATTTTCCAATCCCTCAGGGTGAGAGACTTGGTGGGTCTGGAGCGGTATCGAGCCAGTGCCGTGCTTGTGGTAGTCAGCATCACTACCACTGTGCCATCCACCCATGTTTACTACGTAAGGGTTGGATAAACTGTGTTTAAAAGAATAGGGTTCCTTTTATTGCTGTTGGTCTCTCTAGTGCCAGTTGATTTTTCAGAGATCCGAAATTTTAAAACTGAGGTAAAATAAATCATTTCTATTTACTGCTTATTCTTTTTTATGACAGTTTGATGTGAGTTATAGCCGTAATAATGCTAACATATTTGCAAAACTGCGGACCACAGGTGTCGCCGACGGCGATCGAATACGCCATTACCTTTTCCGGGGGCTAACGCCTTTACCACCACACCATGCGGGTCCTTCGTCTCGTCTTTCAGCCGTGTTTTATAGGTGCTATCAGCAATGGGTTCAATGCCGATTTGTGCTCTCATCAGCAACGAACGACTATTGTTCGCTTTCTAAAATCGTCACTTGAATTGAAGTATTCTAATGAAGTTAGGAATAACCTGTTTCCAACATAACTCGCAAAAAGAATTTATTAGTAAGAATGCTTTACTATTGTAATATTCGAGCAAACATGAATCAGTTATGAATCCATAGGTATTCATCTTGTTCTACAGTAACATTCTGTTGTAACACAGCCGTCTTCTGAGTGCTTAGTGGTTGCGTTGTGGTTTCCATGCTTGCGTGGCAATGAGAACATGAACCTGGTGTGCCTGGTTCTCCTTTGGGTCCCTGTGGTCCAGCCAACCCTGTGTTTCCAGGGTCTCCTCTCGCTCCCACTGCACCTCGAATTCCCTGATTTCCTGGTTGACCAGGTTTACCATCGTGACCTTTTCCTCCTGGCGGTCCACGTGGGCCCACCTGAATTCAGAAGCTAGGAAGAGTTAAATCTAAGGATGCCGAATTAGTATACCTTTCCTGGAGGGCCAGGTGGACCGGGCGGTGCACCATTTAATACTTTGCCACGATCACCTGTTGGACCTTTAGGTCCTGGAGGTCCAGGCTCACCGCGGACTCCTATTGGGCCAGGAGGTCCTGGTCTGTTATCTTCACCAGGCCGTCCAGGTGTACCCGCTTTCCCAGGCGGGCCACGAAAACCTGAATGAAGATACGGAAAGTGACAACAATTTTCCAGAAATATTGGTATGTCACAAGTGTAGAGCTAAATTCTTTTAAGATTCCTTCTCCATTAATGACTCCATTTCTCCACTAGGTAAAATTCACATGAAAATGTGATGATCTTATGCTGAAATTTCTAGCCAAGCCTTCGAAATACTCTTTAATTCGTACTCTGTGCAGACAAATATCAATGTTTAACTACTACTCAACTATTTGTGCATGGTTTCCATATTTGTTCAGTCTGTTTTCTATAGAGTCGAGTGGTGGTTTATTTTTGTTCCTACGAGAGCAAAAGTAGTCGTGGAGGATATGATTTATAAGAATTTTTTTCAACCTGTGATTCTTTTTTGTCTTACCTTTAGCTCCAGGGATTCCCGGTGGACCTGGTGGTCCTGGGGGACATTTCTGACAAGCGTTCGTTCCAGGTGGAGGTGCGGGTAGGTACTTTCCATTACGACCGTTCAGTCCAATCCGACCAGGAACTCCGTCCTTACCTGTTTATGGATGTGATAATTTCATTAATTCTACCTAGCTTGCTTATGTCCATAGTTTTGAGGCAAACGGATTTGAAGAAGTAATACCGAGGACGACGAAATTGTAAAGTATTCGAAGTAAGTGGCATCTTAGTAGGAATTGGAGCAAATGGCAAGTGAATTAGAGATATGTAGCGAAGGTAATATTAGAATCAAAAGTTGAGAAAAGCTTCACAAGTCACCTGCTGAAATTGCATATAGACAGTTTGGTACAGGAAATTCACTGCTACTTATTCTTTGTGCTCTAAGTTCTTTAGGACAGAGTCAGTTGCTGAACGTTTTTCTGTCAGACACATATCGTAGTTTTTAGTGTACTTAGTTAAAGTACTAGGACAGGATGCAACGCATTTTTAAAAGGCGGCGGGTAGCGCAACGGTAGTGATACCGACATTAAGAGCATGGTGCTCGCTTGACTCAGACCAAACTCACCAAGCTTCTGACCCCTCCGGGGCCCAGAAATTCGTACCAGACATGTCAGGGAAGACTTCGCTGTCTACAGTCCAAGTGGGAACGCTCTAACTAAAGTGTCTCATGACTCAAGGCAGAATGAACTTTCCTAGCATTCCACGACATTCGCGAAGAAAAGAAAATCCTCAAGCAGCAGCCGGGCCCATACCGAAAAGTTGGAAGACGATCGTGAACAAAGATGCGTGGAAGCGAATCAAATGCTAAATATGCTGGGATCTGCGCAGTAGATATGGAAGATGTATCGTTTGGAATTTTAAAAAAAAGTGGAAGTTTTCATCACACATGCTAAACTCACCCTGTGGTCCATCCATGCCACTAGGCCCGCGGGGTCCAGGTGGACCTTGGGTGCAGGCACAGCATGACCCGGTTGGAACGGCGCCGTAATTCCCGTACGGCGTTTGACGTTTCGTGAGAATATCACCCGGTTGAGAAAATGACATTTGCTTCCAAATATCACGCGATTCGCTCTAAAATGGAATCTTGCATACTCTTATCGGGCTAGTGAACTATAGTGGGGCTACGATAAGTTATGAAACATCGAAACTTCATGGCGACTCTTGCTAAAAAGTTGCGTTCTATATCAATTTATCACTTATTGTGTCCATGTCTTGTGCTGTATTTTGTATACTACTCTTAGAAGCGTAAAATCACTTGATTTCTGTCAGTCAGCAGAGAAGGAAAAAATGCGAACAATCATGTGTTTGCACACCTTGCATAGATCTACCTCCATAAGCATGACAGAGGTGACTTTCTGGATATGCATGTGAACAATCGGCAACCCTACAACCACTGCAATGATGGATACGGTAGACATGACGGTGGCAGTAAAAGTTGCCTGACGGGAACTTGGGATCCAGTTCATTTCTAAAAGAGAATAATTCGACCCGAGATCATTCGAGCGTTCTCTATGTAGTGTATCAGTATTTTACATTGCAAACGAATACTAATATAGTAGGTATTCCCACAGAATATGAACAGGTAGAAAACAAGGTAACCTTTGTAAAAGAAGGCGAATATATGACACAAGTAACTTTACTGTATGAAGAAGTTGTAACGATCGCCTTCTCAGCAACTTCAAAATTATGGTTAACAAAATCAGCCATCGTTTTCGATGATTATATCCCACTACTTCTATGCCTCTGCATAGAAAGCGAATAGGTTCATAGACAAATAAACCCGACATAAGAGCGTCTTAACACTCCTCTTACGATAAAAGACATTTCAAGAGGTGCTATAGGTACACGGCATGCTCCGTAGAGAATTCTTAAAAGACTCCAGTTGATCGGATTCACGCCTTCAGTGAACTTGTTTTGGGTCAGATTTTTTCGGTTGAATAGTGTTGACTTTGTTACAAAAAACTACTTAGCTTCCGATGCAAGGTTCAACAGGCGCAATTTCGGAGTGAAAACTGAGCGTTCACTTGTGCTTGTCTGTTATTTCCTTCCCTTAAGTTAAAGCTGCAATTTGGGCAATTATTGGAGTAGTATGGATGGGCTGGCGCTAAACCATTTGATGCGAACTGACTTAATGAATGTCCATACTCGTTGATGTCAACTTTATGATGGTAATTCCTAAGAAAGAGTGTTTGATTGGCGCTGTACAAAGCAACCAAATATTACATTCCTGTACTTCTACGGCTTTCAAGATATTGGGCGATGTTGACTGTCAGAATCTCCTCATCGTTGGACAACTAATTTCCAAGCCTAGCTAGATTCACAAAGCACGGCCCAGATTGTCGAATGAGTCTCTCCTACATTGAAATCGTCTACGCATAGCAGCGTGTACTACGATAATTTGGGAGCATGAAGCGCAATGATTAGGACTAGCATATAAAACAGACATCTGTGTTCGATCTCCTTCCTTGAGAGAATATGGAAGGGTTAGGCCATAGCACACCTGGGAGAATTAGCTCATAGCTATTACATAGCTCGTTGAGCATGACAAAAACTAGGGAAAGAGTTTTGAAGTGCTTCAGATTATTGGCATATTTTCTTGACTTTCTGTAACTTTTCTTGAATTTATGCTTACGAGTTTAATATTGTGATATAGAATTTATCCTTGCAATTAATGTTATTTTAGACTATAATGCTAAAGGGACGGTTTCTAATACTTTCGATGGTCAGCGCTTCAATCATCAACTTTATTCTTAGGAATTTTCCTTGGATCACTTCCATGCGAAGGACGTATATGGCGCACCACAGAGGAATTCCGCTGCTAAGATGAAGACACTTGTTGACTGAACCGTGTTTTTGTTAAAATTTCGTTAAATCTCCATTATATTGTAAACGAATTGACCAGCTCTATATCATGGGGTGTAAGATATCCATAAAAGGTTTACTTTGGTCCATAAAAGGAAAATTTCGTCCGAATCAAAGTGATTGCTTATTTAATTCTTTCTCTAACCAAACAAGCTTTTCAGCCTCTAAGTCGTTGCGGCAAGATAGTTGGTAGATATGCGGAAGGTATAACACTAATTATTATTGTCGGTTTACCTTCACAACTCCTTGTTAAAACAAACTCTCCTCATTTACGTAGCATAGCAACTTTATAAATGAGTTACAGATGGTTCACAAACACCATGATAGATTCCGGACTGCAGTTGTCTACGGTGGGGAACGAAGGCGCTATTACCCTTTCCGTGGGTTAACGCGTTCACCACCACATCATGCGGGTTCTTCGTTTCGCCTTTCTCTCAGCTAGTACTATCGATCAGCGTCATCAGCAATCACCCGTCAAGGGGATTGATCTATGGAGCCTAAACCCACTTAAGCTGAGGTTTTGTCGAAATCACAATGTTAACTTTTTATTTAGTGCCTATTATAGTTTTCATGGCAGGCTATTGCGTGTGAAACAACCACAATGATGCTGAGAATAAGAAAAGTTAACATTGTGATTTCGACTACAGCCTTAGCCTAAATTGGTTCGCTGCCAATTTGGGCTCCCTAGATTAATGCCGTTGACAGGTGATTGCTGATGGCGCTGACCGATAGAACTAGCTGAGAGAATGGTGAAACGAAGGACCCGCATGATGTGGTGGTGAACGCGTTAACCCACGGAAAGGGTAATAGCGCCTTCGTTCCCCACCGTAGACACCTGCGGTCCGGAGCTTTGCAAGTATCTCAGGATCACTGCGGTTGTTTCACACGCAATACCCTGCCATGAAAACTATAATAGGCAATAATTAGAAAGTTAACACCGTGATACCGCCGTGAAATAATAGTGACCTATCGTTAAATCGTAATCGTAATAAATCGTTTAACTTGAGGATGAAGGAAAAGATCCATAGAAATTTAGTGATTATTCACAGGGAAATTAAGTGAAGGTCGGTTTAGTAAAGTATTACTACGCTGTGTGTTAGCTATTCTGGTACCGGCTGCTGGAGGATGGATTATCCTTTGGAAAGCAAATTATTACCAGTAGGCGTAGAGTATCATCAACAACTGTTCTGTATAAAAGAGCATCGCCAGATTAGCTTGCTTCATACGGGCGGTGCTCCAATGAAGATGATTCGACTCCATGCGGAGAGCAGGACGCCACCTCGAGAACACGAACAACTGTGGATCATCGACTCTGATGAAGACGAAACTGTCGAAACGTTAGCCGAATTAAAATTGTGCAACGAACTCGTGTGTACTGAACAATCCAAAAAAAGAGATTAAGTGCTCATCCATGATCAACCACCAAGGAATGAGCTATGCAGGATTCGACTCCATTCCTAGCATTACAAAAGTGGATACATAATTGGCCAATACACTGACCCGAAGGAGCCTAACGACGTATTAAGAATGTGTTTTTTGTCCTCTTGGCAAAGTCTGCTACCAATATGCCGGACAAGAATCGGTGGAGAGCCTCGTTCTCCATGGACGGCAAATCAAGACCTCTACCTTCATTTAACTGGTTGTTCAAAATTAGTCCTACGTACTATTTTTATAATGACTTAATCACTTACTTTGATTGAAATAGATGTTTTTAGCTAGTGACAATTGAACTGCCTGAAGATAGATTTGAAATGACGAAAAATATACCCCTATGCTGAAGTGGAAAGAATGAGCGAACTGAAACGCGGGTGATAATCACTTTTCGTCTCCGAACTGGGTAAGTTTTCGATTTTCTTCCAACGAGGTCACGACCTCCGGTAATGTTATCGAAGAGATGAGTCCTAATTCGGACTGTTTTTAATGTTGTCGATGAATCTTTAAGCTAAAGTGTGGGTGGTAGTTTTCTTGATTTGTACATACAATTATTAATAGTTCCCAGGATCGACTTTCTATTAATCTCGGCATTGGAATATGAATGCGCGGTTTTCTTGTTCAGCAATCGCGAGGCTTTTAAACAGCATACATTTACTTCCATAGAAAAACAATACAATACAACGCTAGCTGACGTTTCGGCAGTATCGCCTTCTTCAGAGCCTGGAAGGGTATACTGATATACAATCTACTAGGCCAAACGCTTCAATAACACAAAAAACGAAAAACTCTATGGTAGTTACGTGATCAACAGCTTTATCATTATATATATTATATTATATATATTAATATAATTAATACATAGTATAAATTATATATATATTATATAATATATATATAAAATATATTATTATAATACCCTTGCACAGTAGACTAAAATCCAGCGCGAAAACTTCTTGAGGCTTTTTGGGTAAATGCCAAAAACCCTACAATGAATAGCAGGGAGGAATCCCCAAAGGGCCCACGCGACCTGGCCTCGTAATGTTCGCATCAATTTCTGATGTGGGATGGTGCAGTCACACATGCGACTATAATCAGCTGTTCTAAACTTCCTCATTGGAAGTCACGAAAAAGCGGTGGGTTTTTCGAGAAGTTGTTGGTCATGCGACTATAATCAGCTGTTCTAAACTTCCTCATTGGAAGTCACGAAAAAGCGGTGGGTTTTTCGAGAAGTTGTTGATCATGTAATTACCGAAGAGTTTTTCGTGTTTTTGTAAGTGGTATTGAAGCGTTTGGTCTAGTAGATTGTATATCAGTATACCCTTCCAGGCTCTGAAGAAGGGGATACTGCCGAATCGTCAGCTAGTGCTGTATTGTATCGTGTTTCTCTATGGAAGGAAATGTATACTGTTAAAAAACCTCGTGAATGCTGAACAAGAAAACGACAATTATCAATCATAGAATCTAGCGTCTCCTGCAAGAGAAGAAAAGTGTGGCAAGCGTAAAAAATCGACTTCGCGCCAATTTGGAAATCAAACCAAGCATAAACGTATGAAAACCGACTGGTTTATTGTAATTTACGAGTGAAAGAACCCATTATCTTTGTTATTAATGATGAATAAAGTTACGTAATTATATTTCTTCACTACTAGCTTCAAAAACTGCATCACGCTAAATCTCATGTGGCACTTCGCTTCAAATGTTTAACGCTAGAGATAACTGAAAGGGATAGATAGATACTAAGCCTTATTCTCTAGAGGATTCTGTTCGCTGAACCAGGAAACACCAAGCAAAGCCTCACACATTTGATATGATGGCAGTTTTGGCAACAAAGTAGCCACAGGTAGCGCGCCAGTCCCTGTCGTGGAATTGAATTATTCTTATCCTCTCTTCAAGAGCTCACTCTCTAGTCTTGGACCATTTTATTGAATATACGGACCTCCACCACCACCCCTGTACATGCATTTTGACACCCAGAGATGGAACAACGTTGGAGAGAAAAGCTAACATCTATTTAATCTTGACTAATGAACTACATCAACCATCAACAAGGATACCTCCATCTATTCATATAGCTCTATCAGAGCGGAAACAAAATAGTGGAAGGTCACTTTACACTTTGCAAAATGTTCTTGTTAAGCTAATGCCACGCTGTTGCTACTTTTTCTAGAAA